ATAGATAGATAGATAGATAGATAGATAGATAGATAGATAGATAGATAGATAGATAGATAGATAGATAGATAGATAGATAGATAGATTGATTGATTGATTGATTGATTGATTGATTGATTGATTGATCGATCAATGGGGTTGAGGGTCTTGCTCAGGGTCCCAGGGTAGCAGTCTAACCTTCAAACCCGCAACCTTCCAGTGTTTTCACCCAGCTCTTCTTATATAGAAATAGAAGTAGCTTTTATATCGGCTTTTTTTTTTTAGAGAAAGAGACAACTGAAGAAAATCTGGAAAACTTTCTGAATATTTTTTTTTCTTTCTCTTTAGATTTCATCGTTCACTAAATTTTGTCCCTATGCGTTGTTGGAAAAAATTGTTTGTAAAAAAAATTCCTGAACTTCTTTGTGAACGTGCATTTAACTTAATCTTTTTCAAATTCATTTTCTTAACACACTGACAGAGACTGGAATTGATTATGACGTTTTAATCACTCCAAATTTGTCAGTTACTTTAAATCCCCTGTTATTAATGTTGCTTTTTTGCAGATACTAAACTCATCTTTATGTAACAAAAAAGAAAATAGTCTTTAGTTTAATAAAAAATGTGAGCAAAATGACTCTAATCTTAATAAATCAGTGCAGTATTTAATAACATGCTGCTAAACGGACTGGTTTTAGAGTAGAAACTACCAGCAGGAGGCGTAAGTGACCAAGCCTACAACCAGTAGCAAATATTTTGACAATTTATTTCAAAGTAAAGCTGCCGTTTTGCTCAGCATCTATCAGGTTATTACCATATGATTTAAAGAATTTTTTAGCTTTTGTTTCCTTTTCCTCTCAAAAAGTTTCTCAAAAGTTTGTTCAAAGCATGTTTTGATGAGAATGGAACTGCCACTCCACAAAAAAATTTAAACTAAAATAAATAAATCTATTACTGCATACAAAATACATTTTTGGTCAACTGTAAAAGAGTATTAGATTAAGTTTTAGTGATTTATTACAGTTATCATAGAAGACTGTATAACATAATCGGATCAATAAATGTATTATTGGTCCCTGTGATGTTAATTAATGGATGATAATATTTAATGTATGGGTGGATGGATGATATATGATGGATGTTAATGGATGGATGGATGTTAATTAATGGATGGATGGATTATGTTAATGGGTGGATGTTAATTGATGGATGATAATATTTAATGTATGGATGGATGGATATTAATGGATAGATGGATGATGTTAATTAATGATAGATGGATGGATGGATGTTAATGGATGGATAGATAATGGAAGAATTAATTTAAATTGATGTATGGATATTTATGGGTGGTTGCTTGCATGCTTGCTTCTTGATGGATGGATGGATGAATGGATGGATGGATGGATGGATGGATGGATGGATGGATGGATGGATGGATGGATGGATGGATGGATCGATGGATGTGATCTTAGATTACTGCTGAAGGCCTCAGGTCCTAATTCCGTGGACTCTTATTGCGAAAACCCTGAACCGGAAGCAGGTTACTAATCCTGGACTTGACTCTCAGATCGAGTCGAACTGAAGTGGGCGACTGGAGCCAAACCCGGAACTTTTTGACCCAGTATTTATCCCTGAAGTTTGAGAGTTTGGAGTTTCCCCTCGATTTTCCGACGGGTTTAGCGGGAAAGCCATCTTTCTGGAAGCTTTCGGTTTGTCCTGAAGGAAAACAAACGCTGAAGTTTTCTTCAAATGTTTCCAGCGTGATTGCGGCGGTTCCTGCAGGACAGCAGACGTTAGAGAGCAGGTAAGAGGAGCAGAGAGGCTGAGCAGCTGATGGTGGAGTCCTAACTGAACTAAACACTAATGGAAACAATCAGAACAGAGGAGATGGACACTAAAGTAGTTTCCTCTGATCAATGGTTCACTTCATTCTAATGATCAGAAAAGGTAAATGATCATAATCTGTAAACTTTTTGCTGAGGCTTGTCTGGAGGTTTGTTAAAACTCAGTAGGTGCAGATTAGTGTGTTTGTGTGTCAGGTTAGGAATTTCAGGCAGCTCCAACCCCCCTCCTCCAATCCCTCCTCCTCCTCCTTCTCCTTCTCCTCCTCCTCCTGTTGGTCCAGGGAACCTCAGCTTCTAGGTTAGAAGTTCTAGGTTTAATTAAACAACTTGCTCCACAATATTCCAGAAACCTCAAAGCTCCCATTTCAAAAATAAGTCTTTATATTTATTCAGTTATCTTATTTTTTTTTATGTGTTTCTAATTTCAAACACATTCTATCTAAAGGCCTAAATCTATGGAGAACCAATGCTGCCATAATTACAAATAAAAAAATAAATGACTCAAATTTAGTTCAAACCAAAAATTATAGCTTGATATGAAACTAATAAAAAATGTTGATATATTTAAAAATGAGTTTAAATTAATTATTAGTTTGTTTATTAAATTAGTTGGATATAAATTTCTATATCTTTTAATCAGAAATAAATAAATGGATTTGGAAAAATCGAAAGGCAATACATTTACTTGTAATAAATAACTGGGAAAAAAAGCTATGACTGAATCTTCTTTAAATAGTGGATAAAATTGCGAGGATAAAACAGAATGGTTCAAATAAAAGATATATTTATATATAAGTAATTCATCAATTTTAAAATGCATCAGCCATTTTTTTCCTTTTGTTGCATTTATTGGCTCACTTTGTTCAATTTCACCCTGTAATCTCGGCACTGAAATTCCATTTATTTATTAATGGATTTTTAACAATGGCAGGATTGGTCCTCCATACAATTCATAACCAGCTGAATAAAAGTCTGCCTTATCCCAGACATCGGGTCCGATTCTGATCAGTATGAAGCAGCAGGTTCATCTGTGGCAGTTTTAAACAAAAGTCCTACTAGGACTTGGATGCCTTCTAGGAACAGAATACAAATAAATGGCAACAATAACTGATCCTTCATAGAAAGTAGCAGCAGAACCTGGTCTGGTAATGACACCTGGTCATGTAGATGGAGACATGAGAAATCTAAAGAATAAAGGAAGATATTGTAACTAACATAGTTCTCCAGGTCATTTGATAACATTGAAGCCAGATCCAATCAGCCATTGGCTCCTGATCCCCGATTTAATGATTAGCCGGGCTTTATGACTCCGTTGTGGAAGTTGAACTCCATCACTTCTGTTTACTGAGACTCGTATGCAGAAGGTGTGGTTTCAGCTTCCACCACGGCTGTGTGGTTCAGGGAACATGGTGGACAGGCTCAGACAGGCTCAGACTACTACCCGTACGGTTGTAGTGTTTCTACTGAGCCGCTTCTTTTCTGTTTAACCTGAGCAGAATTTTATGTTTCATTTCTCATGCAGGCTCAGTTTCCTGACCGAAACTTCAATTGACTCTGTTCTATTTCAACATTTCTGCTGTTAAAGTCACTAAATGTGAAGTTTAAAACGGTAGAGAATCAGGAACACTTTCTGAATGGAAAGTAGAGGAACTGCTGGGCCGTTTCCGGTCCTGACCCGGGTCCAGAAGGCTTTAAAGACACATTTAAACCTAAATTAATTAGTTGCACATCTGCGCTTTTCTAAATAAGCTGTAAACCTGCAGAGAGAGCCTGTTTTTTTTTAATCTCCTGACGCCATGAGATGGACACCAACACAGCATCATGCGGCACACTGGTTAAAATGATCTCTTTTAGCTTTAATTTCTGTTGGTATTTAGAACCCAGCATCAGCTGATCTACTGGTCTAGTGGGCCTGAGGCAGAGAAAATACTGGAAACAGTTTGATGTTGATCGTTATCCCCAAAGCCCACAGCAGGACTGGGTTATAGCTGAGGTTTAACAAGCTTTAACCCGTCCATCAGCTGACTCATAAGCTCCTCCAGAAGACAGCCACATTCCTCAAACCTCTACATCCAGCCTCTTTGACTCAAATGTGCAGCAATGGCTCAGTGATCTACAGCATGGTTCAAAAGTTCATTTGTTTCTGTTATCCGGGTCAGAAAGTGGAACCGTCCCATCCCACACAATGTGTTTTATTTCTCCTGATTCTGATAGTTCTTGAAAACCCAACATTCAGTTCTGCAGTAATCTGTGACTTAGGATCACCTACTTCTACCACACATTTTCCTTCCACTTAACTTTCCATTAAAATACTGATGCGCACCACTTTGAACGGCCAGCAATTTTAGCATCATCCTATATATAATTATGTCATATTCATACTATTTTTGAGATACTAAATTGCCAATTTTCCATAGCTGTGATCCAGATCACCCACGCTGCAACCAGACTCTACAATGAGACACTACAACGGAAATATATATATATATATCCATCTATGTGAACACCCTATTCTAATAATTCTACTATTTAAAAGGATATATAACATATGTGGACGCACTGTATATACTGTATATATCCCATGCACCTCTTTCTTATTTGGTTATTTGAGCTGATTACAGAGTAAATTTCTCCACTGTGAGAGCAATCGTCAATCAGTCAATCAATGAGAACCATCGGAGTTTCCAGAATTAAATGTAAATATCTGTGTTTTGAAGTGAAATAGTAAAATAAATCTTTTTCAGATTTCATAAATAAATAACTGATTTCATCCCAAAACACTTCATTTGTCTAAGAACCAAAAAGATCTTTATACATTTTGATAGCAAGTAAACAGAACCAGCTCGGTAACAGTGTGCTTTGGGCTCCTTTATGTTTAAAGCAGGGGTCTGCAACTTGCGGCTCCAGAGCAGCATGTGGCTCTTTGGCCTCTTTAATGCGACTCTTAATAGTGGCTGAAAGGATATAAATAACTAACTAATAACAAGTCTTTGAAGCTTTAGTGGAAGGCATTAAATAGAGCAGAGAGGGAGGGATTGGAGCATCCAAAGGTCCCGATATCAACCCTGTAGAGAGACCGTAACCAGGCTGTTTGGGCCCAGAGAACAGCCAACTGTTCGGTTTTAAAACTATTCCATTATGTGGCACACTCTCGACCAATCATCATCCACTTACCTTTTGAAAATAACCATTCAGCATACAGCTCAGTTTCAGATGGTTCCTCTCTACGAGTGATGGTAATGGATCTTGTGAAGCAGTTCTATAAACTGCAACCAGCAGCAGTTCCCATTGCACACACACCCACTCCACTCACACCCCCACACACACACACTCACACACTCACTCACTCATCCTCATAGTTCCCAGAATCCTACAGAACAGGCCTTTGTGCCCCCAGCCCCAACTGGGTCCAAAAGGTTGTTTTTTTTTTTTTTCAGCTCAGCTGCAGAATGGAGGAGGTCCAGCTTGGTGTCTGCTTGTGCAACAAGTGACCCCACCCAGCCCACACACACACACACACACACACACACACACACACATCCACAGACTGACAGCGGATCCAATCTCCAGCAGCAGCTGTTGTGATGGTTCTGGTCGAGTTCTGACTTGATCAGGGCTTTCCTGATCCACTCTTCCTGCGATGGTTTGTGTACGTGTTTGTGGTGGAACCGCAGCGTTTAGGCCTTCTCAGTTCTAATAAGAGAACCAGAAATAAAGAGTAAAACAGGAAGTGGGACTCTTCTGGATTCATTCTGAAAGCGATCGATAGAGGACGGTGTCCCTGAGTCAGTACTGAGCTGAGCGGGTTGGCTGGTAGTTTGTTTAGGTCATGAATGGTTGAAGTTTCGTGCATCTATCAGCTCATCTACAGCACATAGATCTACAGCAAAGATTTGGAGCATGAATATGGAGCTCAGCTGTAATATTGCAGGATGAATCATTGCTGTTGCTTCATTCGATTTTGCCTAATTGGGTGGAGCCCTGTGGATCGGTGGTTTTCACTCCTGCTTCTCAGTCAGAAGGTCCTGTGTGTGTTGGAGGTGTGTATCATCCTGTGATGCAATGTTTCTCACCTGTAGATGTGACGTTCCTGTTTTCTCTTAATCTCCAGGTGCTGAGGAGTGAGGTCGGAAGGAGCCAGGATGCCGCAGCAGAAGGACATAGTGAGGATAGCCATCCAGATGCCGGGGACAGTAGCCCAGCTCATACAGCTGGACCAGGTAACACATCATGTCCACATTTGAACCCAGATTACTGCCAGTTATGAAGGTAATCTGATGTCTGCTCATATTCTGGGTCAGAGAACAAGAGTTCACTAAATACCTTTTAGTTCTGATTAGCCCAACATGAAGGCCTTCAGATTCTCATTAATAAAAGAGGCCAGCTATGATTAGGGATGCAACTTATCAATTAATTCATCAAAAGTTGATTGATATTATCAATTGAATAATGATTCATCAATGATGCAAAGAACTGAATTTTTTTTTTGGACAATATGCTGAGATAAAAAATTGGTATATTAAATACTGACTAAATAACCCAAAATATATTTACCTATATATTGTTAAGCACATTTAAAAGACATAACAGGAACCTATTATGTTGCTGAATATAAAAGTATTAATTAAACAGAAATAGTTTCCAATGCATAGAGATTTAAACTCTGCTTGTGTTTAATGATGCTGCTCTGCCATGTAACTTTATTTAGGTAATAGCTGTAGGAGTTTATCGAGTGTTTATATTGACCAGCAGAACCGAATAAAGTGCATTCTGCATCCTTGGAGCCATTAAAGAGTGAATAAAATCCCAGAGCGACTTTGGATCCATTAATGTTACTGCTCCTTTACTATTCCTCTTCAACATTTAACCCCTTACACCCTAAGGGGGTATAAATAAATTTCTGCCTGACAAAAACACACAAAAGTAAATCACTTATAGCCTCACAGCTATTAGATTTAAGAAGAAACTTTTGGTACCTCTGTAAAGGTAAGATGTCAGAGAATGGTTTTCTGGTGTCAGCACCATTGTAGCTTTGACCCTGCCTGAAATATTAGGGAC